CCTCTCGTGCCGCCTGCCGTGTCCTCAGACTCGCCCGGACCCGAACGCAGACGTCGCCCGACGGTCCGAGAGCTGCTCCCGCAGAGCTGGACCCGCCCTGGGAGGCAGGCTCCCACCCTGCACGGCGAGGAAATAGGACAGGGCGGCCAGCCCCCCGGCCCCCACCCCGTTTCTCCAACGTCAGCCCCGCGGAAGGGAACCAGGAACGCAGCTTCCTGAATTGCCATTGAGCACCGCGGCCTTGGAGGGCGGGCGCCCTGGCTACTTAAGGGGTTCTCAATCTCAGTCTCCTTGTTGGTGAGAAAGATAGGCCGTACCTCGTAGGGTTGTTATAACAATTACCTATTTCTAAAACACAGTTGGCCTCTGGACACAGGTTTGAGCTGCGCAGGTCCTGACAGGTGGGTTTTCTCCCACCCGAGACAGCTAGTCCAAATCTTCCTCCTCCCCCAAAACATGAAGATGACCAGGATGCAGACCTTTATGACGATCCACTTCCATCTAATGAGCAGTAGATATATTTTCTCTTCCTCCCAATTTTCGTATTTTTCCCTCTAGCTTACTTTGCGGAAAGGGCACGGTGTTTGCTACACGTGTCAGCCGACTGCGTGGGTAAGGCTTCTGGTCTCAGAAGGCTTTCAGTAGTTACAGGGGAGTGAAGTCATACACAGCGCTCCTACCCCTGGGTTGTTTAGGGGTCAGCTGTACCAGCCAGATGCTGGTCATGTGACATAGAGGCCCCCAGCTACTGCAGTCGGGGAACACTGAGGAACGGAGGGGATCCCTAACAACCCAGGTCAGAACTAGGGGGTTCTAGAGCAGTTTACCAGGAACGCACCCCCACCCCAGGGTGAGGCTGGCACCAGGCCCACCTGGGGCCCTGCCCAGCCACCCACCCCCGCCTCCCCAGCTTGCAGGCCCAGTCCATGCCCGGCCTGGTGCCATTTTTCCATGGGACTCTGGCGGTTCACATCTGGAGTCTAGACTCAGAGGCTCTGCGGGCCGGGCCTACCGCCCGGACTGGGCCACCGCTGCCCGCTGTTTGCTCAGCTGAGGCTGGTTAATTGGAATTAGAGCGGCCTCTGCGGTGCCGGCTGGCCGGGCGGGCCCGGTCGCCGCTGCCGAGGTCTGTGGAACATCTGGCCCCGCCAGGATGGTCATTAGGCGGCAGGCGCCCGGCGCCACTGCCACCTCAACCTCCGCGGGGGCCGGCGGTGACTCAATGAGGCCTTTGTGGGCCCCGGGCCGCACAAGCCAACCTCGCTGTGTGCCTGGGCCGCCTGCCCCAGCTGCTGCCCTCAGAGGGGCCTTGTTCCAGCACCACATGGCCTTCCCTGCGGCGGGCTGGAGTAGGCAGCGCTCCCAGAAACCCTGAAAGGGACCTCCCTGGCTGGGAGAAGCCTTGCGATTTTCTGCTCTTTCTTTCCATAGACTCCTGGGCTCAGAGAAGTCGAGTGGCTGGCTCAGAGATGCCCAGCACACCAGCCACACTCACTTGGTCCCAGGGGTCAGCACAGTCCTATAGGAAGTTGGAATTCAGTTTGGAGTGCTTGAGGTCAGATCTATGTCCATGGGCAAGCAGCCTCGATTCGCTCATTTGTATGATGGAGCTAATAACAGCTGTGAGAATTAGATAGAATCTGTATCAAGATGTTTGGTACGTGTCAGCACCTAATGAGATTCTTATAATCAAACTCGAGTCCCTGGTCATGCTTGTATTTTGGCAGCTTCCAAAATGTCTTGAAGCCACTGTTATTTTCAGCCTTTGAACCTGAAGCTTGGGCCAGGAAGAGCCCTGGGCTGGAGCTAGAGGCCTGGACCTCAGGCCAAGGCCACCCCCTCCTGTTTCAGTTTCTTTACCCAGTGACCCCACTTCTGGGCAGGTAGATGAGGGTCACGGCCACTTCTTACCTGATTCACAGGGGGGGACTGGGGTCTCCTGCAGGCCAGGTCTTCTGATTTCAGCAAACTTGAGGGAAACCCTGGCCCTGGGATCCCCAGCTTGTGGGCTTGTGGGCCTCTGGCCCTCATGCTGTGACTGGCCCCGCAGCGGTCATTTCAGGAAGAATCTCAGGAGTGGGCAGAATGAGAGGCACGGGGCCTTGATCTTCAGGGCAACCTGGAGCCCAGACCCTCTGGAGCTGAAGCCATGTAGGCACTGGGACCAGGGAAGCTGGCAGGCTTTCGATACCCCTTGCTGAGTCAGGCTGGCCTCCTGGTACTGTTGCCCCCTCTTGCCAAGGTGAGTGGGGGGCTCAGTGGGCACCTGCCCAACACCCTCACTACCCCCAAGTGTTGGGAAGAAAGTGGCAAGGAAAACTGGACAGCTGGGGAGAAGGCAGGGCTTGTGGGCCCCCTCTGCTGGCCAGAGGGCATGCTTGGAATGCAGAGCTGTCCAGGCACTAGGGGATAGGGAGGCAGGCTCCCAGAAAGGGGCTTGCAGAAGACTCTGGGTGAGCAGGTGAGACCTGGTAAACCCAGTGCAAGGCAGAGAACCCTTTCGGGAGCACAGTGGCCCACCCTGGCCATGGGATGAGTTTTTAATGTGAGGCAAAGTCAGTCCACAATACAAAAATCTAAAAACCACACCCACTTTCCCTGGCTCCTGAGGGGTGATGCTGGGGGCTTCCTTTGCCTGCAGGGGATGGGGAGGAGCAGAGGAAAGCCAGAGAAGGGGAGAGGAAACAGGCCACAGAGGTCCAGCTGGAGGGATCCTGCGGCCCCGTCCCGGGCTGCCCTTGGCCGCCTGCACCCCTGCCATGCCGCCATGTGGGCCATCCTCGCCTGGTCTGGCTCTCAGGTCAGGCCCCAGCAGTGTCAGTTCGCCTTCTTCTCCAGCCCCTTGGACGTGGAGGCCTCTGTGCCCTCTTTGGATTCTGCCACTGCTGCTGGATCCTTAGGGTCTGACTCCTCATAACTGACCAAAAGATAAAACAACAGAAATACACTCAGAGGAGAGGAGCTCAGAATCCTTGCTGTCTCCTGCCCTGTCCAGTCCCAGGAAAACCCGGGCCCACGAGCAACGTCAGCCTTGCACCACTGCCCGGAGTCTTCTAGTACTTGGCCCGGCCTCTGTGTGCCCTCCTCACAGGCTGTTCTGCTTTCTGTCCCTGGTGGTGTCAACAGGCAGAAAGGGCGGTGGCCAACAGAAGAGAGGTTGGCCCTGGGCTTGCATGGACCTACTTCACACTTCTTGAACCTTCTTCCGGAGTGTGGAGAGAGAAAGGGGTGGCCAGTATGAGGTG